AGGGTGTATCTATGCCGCCCCCCACAGCTGAGCCCATGTTGATGGAGTACCCTGAGGCTATAACTCGCCTGGTCACAGGGTCTCAGAGGGGCCCTGAACCAGCTCCTGCCCCCCTGGGGGCCTCAGGGCTCCCCAATGGCCTCCTCTCAGGGGATGAAGACTTCTCCTCCATTGCGGACATGGACTTCTCAGCCCTCCTGAGTCAGATCAGCTCCTAAAGAGGTGACATCTGCCCTGCCCAGAGCACTGAGTTGCAGGGGATTGAAACCCTCCCAAAGCACTTACAGATTCTGGGTGTGTGTGCTCCAGCTGCCCCAACTCTTTGGGTGATGTCTTCCTGGGGGGGGAACATTTTATTCTTTTACTGGCAGTATCTATCTCTCTCTCTTTTTGGAGGTGCTTAAGCAGAAGCATTAACTTCTCTGGAAAGGGGAGTGCTGGGAGGATTAAAATAGTTTGTTTCCCTATCTTGATGGTTATACTGACCATCAGGGAACTCGGGGGGTTCCCAGTCCCCATCCTCCAGCTTCTAGTACTCTCCTAAAAAGAGGGGCAGGCTGGAGTTATGGGCTTTGAGGCCACAAAGCCTTATTATCAAGTGTCTTCCTCACATGGATTCATTTACATCTTAATCCACAGTGATGCCCCTGTTACCAGCCCCTCTGTGGTGTTGGTATTGTCCTTGTGCCTACCTAACACACCAGCATCTGAGACCAGCCTTCCTGCCCTCCAGAGGTCTCTGCCAGCTCTTACCTTGCTCAGTTGGCCAGAGGGAACCAGTGGGACAGTGCTGGCCCTCTAGGATCCAGAGGGGGGTTTGGTCTGAGACTTCCCTGCTCCCCCTTTGCTCAAGTGCCTTAATAGTAGGGCAAGTTGTTTGGCGAGTGGGGGAGAGCAGGCTGGCAGCTCTCCAATCAAGAGGCACCGTTTCTGAAGAATCAAAGCAGTTGGACTCTTGCTCTTTCTACTCTGAACTAATAAATGTGTTGCCAAGCTGCCCAGAAATGTGCCTTCTTTCAGCAAACCCTGAGCACATGCTTTGTTGGTCACATCAGGCTGGAAATTGGTGGTACACAGTTGGATGAATATACAGCATCTGGGAACTTGCAGCTCAAGATGCCCTGGGAAATCCCTACCAACTAAGGCAGGGGGGTCCCAGCAAGGTGAGCACCAGGTAGGGCCCATTGTCTGAAGATGGAGCCAGTTCAGATGGGCCTTCATACAGGCTCCATTGTTGACAGTGAATCTCTCAGGGGGGCTAGCCAGAGTTTAGAGATGAGTCAGGTAAGAGAGAGACGATGTTGAAAGGCTGGATCGGACCAGGTTGTAAATGGTCAAGAATGCTGGCTACGAAGTTTGAACTTGGGGCCAGCAGGTGGTGTAGTGGTTAAGACATTGGACTCCCTCATGGCTGATAGTGGTTTGAGGCCCAGACTGCATGAAAATCACCCCAGGCATGTGTGTATGCCTGCCCAAAATCCCAAGAGAGAGAAGGATTGTGTGGCCATTCCCCCTAGGAGGTGATTTCTCACCTTCTCCCTTTCTTTCTCTATCGGGTGAACCCACAAGCTCTAAGGCAAAAAGAACTTTGGGCTTATCTCTAAGAGTGGTCAAGGGAGAGTTTGCTTCTGTTAGGGAAGAGGAGATGCCAAGCCTATGCCTGCTTCACCTATGCCTTGATACCCTGTTCTAGGAAGAGTGTGAAATCTTGATCCACAGCCTGAGTTGGTATAAACAAAAGCCAGCGTGGCTCATGGTGCTAGGTCTGGATGAACTTCCGTCCAGGTCCGGCGCACGCGCAGCAGTTAAAGAAACTAGCCACAGCGTCCAGTCTGCGACTGTTTGGCCCCAAGTAATGCACTTCAGGGGAAAGCACGGTGCCGAGACCTGAGGGTGTCTGTGTTCTGAGCCTCGCAACGCTGCGGGAGGGAGATGGCAAGACAAGCGGGTTGCCATTAGCTAGCGAGGTGCGCTACAAAAGCGAGTCCCCTGGGAACACGAAAGGCCTTCAGTGCAGATTCAGACGGACAGCGCGAGGTGCCAGCTGGCGGCGGAATGTCGGGCAACCGGAAAGCGTCTAGGGTGTTGAGGTTGCTTTTTGGCTTTTTGCTCCGGGGGCGGGATTCGGGGCGGGGCCTGAAGCAAGGGTCGGCCCCTTGGAGACGTAGTCAAGTCGAACTCCGCGCCAAGGAGCGGATTCTGAGCTGGGGTGGCTGGGTCAGGACCCGAGCGAACCAGTCCCAGAGAGCTTGGGGAGGCGGGGCCCATAGAAGGTCCGGGCGGGGTGAGGCTACTGACCCAGGGGGAACCCAGGCAGAGCTGCCCGCACCGCCCCCAGCCTGAGGTCCAGAGGGAGCCCGGGACCTCTAGGCTAGGCCACGCCTCACTCTACTTCCTGCAGTGGCCTCTGGTGACCCCCCCCCCACTTCCCCGGAAGCTCTCATGGTCCTTCTCACACTCCCTGAGTGACCTCATGTTCACAGCTCACCAGTTCCAAATCCTTGTCTCCTGCCTAGACCTCTACTCCTGCGTGCCAGTCCACTGCATGCTGCTCTCTCAGTCTCAGGTCTCACACTTCCTGTTCCAAAAGATCTCTGCACCTCCAACCTGGCCCTCCTCCCTCTGTCTCAGCCATGGCCCCGCCACCGTCCCGGGGTTCCAACCAGAAACCTTCCCACCACTGTGGTTGCCTATCGCCAGCCAACTCGCACCCACACCTCAAGGGACCCCCACTCCTCCCCCATTGTCACCGCCATCATCTAAAGCACCACTACTTTCCTCTGGAAGTGCTGCCACAGCCTCCTCCCTGGCCTTCCTTCAGCCAAAGGGCTCGGACGGCCTGGCGGCTTGTTTTCTCACTTTCTCTTTCTGTGTCCCTCTCTGGTCAAATTAAAATAAATTAATGAAAATAATTTTTTTTTCTCACCCATCACTCTCCCTCTAACATGAACTGCATGACCAGATTCCGTCTTCTGCCCGCACACCCCCAGAAAGTGATCAGAGTCCTCCACGCTGCCTGGCGAGGGCTGCTCACAATCGTCCACAACCAGGAAAAGCGGGGGCAGTGCTGTAAACGGCTAATCTAGGAGACATAGTGCAGCCTTCACCCTTTCTGATTTGGTCCCAGCTTCTTTGACCCTGGGTTCCTGTGTGTGCCCTGACTCCAGTCCAGCAGCTCCCAGACCGTTCCTATTGGCATAGCTTTGATGTTTCTACCTGGTGAACCTTCAAAACACAATTCAACCTTCAAAACACATCCCTCATGTTACCTCCTTCATGAAGCCTTCCAGATCTTCTATTTTTCAGAGCCTAGCTCATCGTGCCAGAGCCTAACAGACCCAGGGCCTAGGACTTGGCAGAGTGAGCATTAACCAGTCTGGGGAAGGAGCTGGATTAGACATGTGATTGTGGGCCAGTCAGTGCCCTATCTAGGCCTTACGTCCAGAAAAAAAAAGAGTGGGGGAACCAGCAGTTAGTGTAATGGCTATGTCGCTGGACTCCCATGTAGTTGACCGAGGTTCGCGTCCCAGACCCAGTGGCTTAAAACTCACACCGGGCGCGTGTGCATGCATGCCCAAGATCCCGAGAGGAGAATGGAGGAGAAGGGATTGCGGCGTGACCATCCCCCCTGGGGGGTGATTTCTCGCTTTCTGTCTCTATGTCTCTGTCTGGCGAGTGCTCGCTCCCTATAGCGAAAACCTCTCAAAAAAAAAAAGAGGGGAGGTGGTTAGACAAACATCCAACTTTGAAAAGACCCAGGCTGGTGAGGAGAGAAGTGCATCAGGGTACAATTTCCTCCAGGACATGGAAATATCTCCCAGGCAACTGAGGCAGAGGAGCTCCACCTCTGCAATTGAACCCTGCAAGATGTGGCCAGTACTCAGTGGTGAGAGGACCATGGGGCTTACACTGGGGACAGGGCCTTGTGAGGCATAACCAGGCTCTCCTTGAACCCTAAGACTCTCCCCTGCGTGTAGGGCTACATGTTCCTCTGCCTCTGGTCTGAGCCCTTCAGATGTGAATCCAGGGCTTGGAGAACTAAGGGGCGGTGTGGAGTGTGGCCACCTGCTGCTCAACCGAACCAAATCAATGTTTGTGAGGCCTCGTCAGAGACTCCCCAGTGACCGCCAGCCCAACCCGGAGCCAGTGTTCCAGGCTTGCCCTGCTAACTGGCCCTGGGGTAACAACTCCTTCCTGTCATATTGTGAACACATGCAGACACAAATAACGGTGGCTTCTTTACTCCTGGAAGGCCCCTTTTCTCCACAGTATATTTACAAACAGGGACCAGGCGGGGGCAACTTCACCACCAAATAATGGGCTGGGGAGTGGGGGGCAGTGCTAAGATGTGCCTCCTTGCGGGGAGGAGTTCCTGAGGAGGGCCGAGGGCCCAGAAGGGCCCAGGCAGTTCCAGGCAGGTCCAAGGCTGAGCTGCAGCTGGGCCTGATGGCCTCAGGCCAGGTCAGCAGTGGGTGAGCCCAGCTGCTTGGAGGCCAGGAGCAGGCGGGTGGCTGCACTCTCCGATTCAGCCTGCAGCCTCCGGTTGTTGTGCCTCAGGCTCCGCACCTCCTCCTCCAGAGCTGCCCGGTCTGCCTTCTCCTGGGAGGTGGGGGGGAGGCCAGAGTCAGAGCAGCTGTCCCTCTCCTGGGATAGACCTGTGCCTCGCCGCCCACCTCAGCACATCTCTCACCTTCTGCAGGTCTTCCTGCAGCTTCCTGAGCATGGATTCCAAGTGAGAGACCTTCTCTGAGAGGCTCCCAGGTTCTGGCCTGAGGACAAGGGGGTCAGGACTCAGCGGGACCAGGACAGGGGCTGGCTTCTGCCCACCTGAATGAGAGGGGCCTAATCCCATCTTTGTAGACTTATGTGTCCTTGGAACCGGGATAACTCTTGGCTCCAGTGGGCAGGCATGAAGGGTGGTAGCACGGGCATTCTCAAGGGTCATGTGAGGGTGGGAGCCTTACTCAGCATCAGACTTTGGAGTTCCCTTGGGGTCTCCGCTCTCTGGGATAGGCTGTCCTATGGGGATAGAGGGACCGTTGGGCAAGTCACAAAGGGCGAAAGAGCCCCATCATGGCTCCTACCCCCAGCACCTTAGGGGCCTCACCCTCCCGGGACAGTGACTCCAGAATGGTGTTGCACGTGGAGGCGATCTCTGAGATGGACTGCCACTCGTCTTCCAGGGTCTCGCTGCCTGCCTCCGACATGACTGCAGGCACAAGGAGGTGGCTCAGCAGGGGGAGCCAGGGGGCCACCCTCCTGTGCCCCTCCATACCTCTCTCCATCCAGGCTCACTCTTGCTGATGGAGTTCCGCAGAGACAAGGTCCTTGGTAGGAAGGAGGCCCTCAGCTCTGGGGCCAGGTCACCTTTGTCCTCACGGCTGCTGGGGTTGCTTGATCCATCCTGTGGGGCAGAAGCGAATGTGGATGCAATGACCCTCACTGTCCCCACTGGGCCATTGGGTTCCAGAACTTTGTTTCTGCTCACCTGGGTGGGGGGCATCTCCCTGTCAGCACCAGGTGTTGCTGGCTTGGCTGTGGTGGCCAGGAGGAGGTCTGGGGTGGTGTCGGGTAGGACTGGGGCCTCATCTGACAGAGAGCTGGGAGAGCAGAGGTAGCTCAGGCTGGAAGCTGCACTTAGGGCTGTAAAGACCTTACCAGACTGGAGGAGGGAGAAGGCCACAAGGGTGCACCTGTGGGGTGATGGTGGATTCTGGCTGTGCAGGAACTCAGTCCTCTCCTCGGCCAGATCCCCGGGCCCTGGAGGGCTACCGCCATCTTGCAGGCACAGGTGCAGGAGCTGCTTTGTGGTGGGCAGCAGAGCCACCCCTAGGGTCTCATCCTGCACTGGCTCTGGGGCCCCCCGCCGGCTGGGCTCCTGCAGAGACAGCGTGTACAGCTCCGAAAAGCTCCTAGGGGACAGGGAGGGGAAGTGTCAGGCAGGACACCCCAGCGTCCTTCATCACTAGACCCAACCTCAGCAGTTTCCAGAAGCTCAGTTCCAAGAGGAGAACTCCCAAACTCCTTGATAATGAAAAATACCACCTGTGAAATGGGACTAATAATGCCGACTTAAGTGTGTGCTGTCAAGGTTTAAAATAACAACACATGGGGCTGGCCCTGCTGCCTACTGGTTAAGGGAGCCACGTGGCCAACCACAATTCAAATCCTGCCCTCTGTGGCTTGAACAAACACATTGGAAGGCCAGCAGGTGGCATGGTGGTTAAGGCACTGAACTCCCACATGGCCAACCACAGTTTGAGTCCTAAACCTGGCAGCTTGCTTTCTCGCTTTCCTTTTCTTGCTCTGTCTCTCTATGGTCAAGTTAAAATAACAACAAATGGAATCAAACGAATAATTCTAAGAAAAACAAAAGCACGCACACTGGGTGTGTTTGTGCATGCTCAAAATCCTGACAGAAGAGATGGCATGACTACACTCCATTGGGGTCCACTTTCTCCTCCCTGTTTCTCTGGCAAGTGTATGCACCCTCTGGCAATCTAAACAAACATGTATAAATTGCTTACCATCCAAAAACTTTTTAGAGCCAAATCAAAAGGCCCATGCCTTTTTCTTTTAGCAGATGTGCCTGTTTTTGTACTCTTACAAGCTAAGAAGGATCTTTTTATATTTCTAACTAGTTGAAAGGAATCAAAAGGATATTTCATGACAGGTAAAAATGACATAAAATCTAAATTTCAGTGTCCATAAAGTCTTGGTGGAACACAATTACACATACTCATTTACCCGCAATCACAGAGTTAAATAGCTACAATAAAGACCAGAAGACCTAGGAGGCCTAAAATATTTACTATCTGGCCCTTTACAGTAAAAGCTGGCCTAGGGAACCAGCGGTTAGCGTAATGGCTATGTCGCTGGATTCCCACGTAGTCGACCGCGGTTCGCGTCCCGGACCCGGTGGCTTGAAACTCACGCCAGGCGCGTGTGCGTGCGTGCCCAAGATCCCGAGAGGAGAATGGAGGAGAAGGGATTGCGGCGTGACCATCCCCCCTGGGGGTGATTTCTCGCTTTCTGTCTCTATGTCTCTGTCTGTCTGGCGAGCGCACGCGCCCTATAGCGAAAACCTCTCCAAAAACAAACAAGGGAACCAGCAGTTAGCGTAATGGCTATGTCGCTGGACTCCCACGTAGTCGACCGCGGTTCGTGTCCCGGACCCAAAATTCACGCCGGGCGCGTGTGCATGTGTGCCCAAGATCCCGAGAGGAGAATGGAGGAGAAGGGATTGTGGCGTGACCACCCCCCCTGGGGGGTGATTTCTCGCTTTCTGTCTCTATGTCTCTGTCTGTCTGTCTGGCGAGCGCACGCGCCCTACAGTGAAAATCTCTCCAAAAAAAACAAACAAACAAACAAACAAAAGAAAAAGCTGGCCTATACGATGGCTTATGCACAGTACTAATCAATATTGTGTTATGTATGTGGGTGGATGGGAAGAAGCAGGTATTAATACTTAAAAAAACCCAGCAGAGGCTGCTGTATGATCTTTTGAACAGGGAAAGCAATGTGCTTAACTGGTTCCATTCTACATCTAGGGGGAAATGTAGTTCAGATAGGTTAAGGAGGGTTGGATTGTGGGACCCGTGGGTGGTGTGGCGGTTAAGGCACTAGACTCCCACATAGCTGACCAGTTTGAGTTCCAGACCTGGTGGCTTGCTTTCTCACTTTCCCTCTCTCTCTCTCTCTGGTCAAATAATAATAATTTTTAAAAATGCTGGTGAATAAAATTAAAATAATTCTATTAAAAAAAAAAAAGAAGGGTGGATTCTTTCAAGGAGACATCCACAAGGGATTCTTGAGAGAATACTGCTGGTGACACACGAGTCACAAACTGGGTGAAGGTCCTCCCACGTCCCCAGTGCCCTGACCTGCGGGGTCGACCGCTTTCGTCGGGGGGCAGGACCGTCACGCAGACCTTGGGTGCAGAGCGCAGCAGCTGGGCAGCAGCCTCCGGGCAGAGGCTGGGCAGCGTCCGGCTACAGATGCGTAGTAGGCGAGCTCCAGGCCTCAGCCCAGCGGTCTCAGCGAACGTGAAACGCTCCACGTGTGTGACAAAGCCTTCGGCGTCCACCTCAAAGCCTAGGCGGCCTTGGCCATCGCGGGGCAGCGCCAGCTCTCGGGTCTCGCAGCCTCGGCTCACCAGCTGCAGCACATCCGAGGGGCGGGGTGTGGGCGGGGCCGTCCCAGCATTGGTTCCCCAGACCCCATCCCAGGGCACACACATCTTTACATTTCTCCGTGGACAGGACAAATAGGGCCCTCAAGCTCTGTTACCAGAGTTGCTGGTTGGAGGAGCCCTCGCACAAGTCCCATCTTTGCCAAGCGTACAGGCTGGCTCTCCCCTCCCCCCTTGATTTCCCTTTTGCAGGAGCGGCTACAGAACAGGTCGGATAAATGAGTTCAGAGGTAGGCTGCGCCCTGGAGAACTCAGCGGGCTAGTGCGCTCGCATCCCGTGCCTACTCCCCAGTCTCCGTTTCCCATTCAAGTTCACCTGTAGGCGCCCCACGACCTCACCCACAGCTTGGCCGGGGGGCCCGTCGAGCCGCACAGTGATTGCCTCCCCGCGGCCGTGGTACAGGTCGAGCTGGTGCTCGGAGAAGGTCCAGGCCAGTACGTCGCGACAGGAGCAGTTGAAGACTACGCGGCCATCCCGCGGCGCCACCAACACAAGAGCTTCCGCCGAAATGCCCAGTAGGCAGGGCACTTCGGCGCTGTCAGGGCCGCCTGCCTCGACCCCGGCAGCGACCCGCGCCCCGGGAGCAGCGCGCACGCCCCATACCAGGGCACCTGCAGCCTGCAGCTCAGCTCCTGGGCCCCGAGGGGGCGCCCGGCGCCTCCCGCCCAGGGATGGCAGGCCGAAGCGCGAAGCTGAGTCTAGTGACGTAGTGGTCACCTCGTTGGTAGCCAGATCCTGCAGGTACTGTTGGCGAGTGCGTGTGGCCATGGCATGGAACTGGCGTGCATGGCCCGCTGCCTGCTCGCCATTGAGTGCCTTGGCCAATAGGAAGGCCCGGAAGTCAGCATTGGCTGCGAAGGGGCCTCCGCCAGGGGGTAAGGCTGGCCCGAAGGCTGGGGTGTCCTGGGTGCGGCTCACAGCCACCCTGCCAGGAGGGAAGCAGTAGTGAGGAACAGCAGGGGAGGTCCCTGAGCCATATCCTGGGGGACCTGAGACCACACGGGCGCCCACCTGTATGAGGTATGTGTGGTGCAGGGCGCATGCGCCCGCACCACTAGGAACACGTGCTGGAAGTGTGAGCGAATGGTGGTAGGGCAGAAGGGCTTACTGCCAGGCTCCTGGAACACGATGGTCACAATATCGTTGCCAATATGGCGCTTCCGCAGGAGCTGGGGGTTAGATGATGAGAGGTGTGCCCGTAAGCCCCTCTTCCTTCAGGCAAGACAGAGCCTAGGCACCCCTGCCCCTCAGCTGGCCCGGGTGAAGACCCAGGGTGTTCGTCTTTGGGAAAGGACTAGTGGGGGGAAATTGTTAGTGGTCAACTGAGATCAGTTCAAGGCTCAAGCACTACCTCCCAGGCAGCACCGACACGGTTCCTTGGAAGCTTCTGGCTACCCCATACCCCCATCCCAGAAGCCCCTCACACCTGCTGCTGGTTATTAGGGGTGTAGGGCAGCATCGTGGACACGTGGAACATGATCTCGTGGTCCTGGTACGTGGTGTAGAGGGAGTGCGTGCCCGTGGAATCCGCTGTGGCCAGGAAGTTGGGGACATAAAGGGAGAACAGGGATGAATCTGGATGGCTTGAAGTCACCATCTGGCCTGCACCCAGAAACCTCCATGCCCCAACCAACAAGTGGACAGTCCCTTCATGCCATCGGCCAGTGCCCAGGCCACAGGGTCCAAAAGCCTCAGCCTTGCTCCCTTTGCCTTTCCCCACATGCCAGCGTGAAGGGGAGGGTCAGGAAGCGGGTGTTCAGATAGAACGAAGACAGAAATGAGAAGTAGTCTGAGGTGGGGCGGGGAAGGGTGTCCTGGGAGAAGACAGCTGCTGGCCCAGGCCCACTATGTGTGGCACACGGAGAGAGTGGATGACAGGCAGAAAGCGTGTGGTAAAACACCTCCTAGGGGCTCTGGGACCCTTCCAAGTAGGGAGGCAGGCCACTGCCCTGCATGCCCCCAGACTGCCCTGGCTCCAGCTTAGACAGCCGAGTACTGGGACCTTGGAGGACTGTCCTAGCCCCCCCTCCCAGCCCACAGCCTGGCCTTTGCAGCCCTGTCACTTTATCAGCCTACCAAAAGAACTCTCTGGCCTTGGCCACAGCCCCAAGACAATAAAAGACAAAGGAGTGACAAGGCAGTTAGTCCTCACCAAGGAGGCCTACCCCTCGGCATGGGTTTGCCCTTGCCCACCAGCACCCTGGGCCTCACTTTTGGTGTCCAGCTGGGCCCGGTAACTCTCAAAGCCTTTGAGCCGCACCACGTCGCCCAGCAAGGTGAGAAACTGCATGAAGGCCGGTCCTGCTTCCTGGTTGTTGTACATCTCCTCCTCCGAGCCCTGGTCTGCCCGGCAGTATAGGATGCCCACCTTGCGCTGGAAGCTCAGCTGGGGGAAGGGGAAGACAGGCGGTGACTTCAGTCCCCCTGCCAGCCTCACCCCCGTCATACCATAGAGGACAGCTAGGACACTGGCCTGGGCTGCCGTGCTGTGTGGCCCTGAACAGCAGCCCTCTCTGAGCCACTCCTGTGTCCTTGTCTGTCAAGTGGGTACATCCATCCTGAGCCTAGTGCTCAAGAGGGTAGATGAGGTCAAGGGCAAGAAGGGATCGGAGTGAGTGGTTCTCACGTGACACCAGAGGAGGTGATTCACAGAAAGGACCCTACATACAGTGCACTCCCGTCCAGTAAATGTTCCTATCATCCTTATCCCTGAGCTAGACTGTCCTCCCCACCCCTGAGTTCAGACACCCCCAACCCAGCCTCTGGAGGCTGAGCCACGTGCCACCTCCACTCCCCTCTGTGCCAGTTTCTGTGCCCTCTGCTCCCAGCTCCTTTCCACCTGCGTGTGGACACTGTACAGTGCAAGACTCTGACCCCATAAAATCACCATAGATTCTCCTTCAGCTCTTGTCTCCCCTCTTCTGAGCTAAGCTTGTCTACAGTCACAGTCCCCATTTCAACTTCATCCCTCCCAAACCCCTGCAGCCCACTTTCACCCCAGCTTCTAGAACCCCATGTCCCCCTATGGCCCACAGATATGGCTTCAACCTGGCACCCTCTTGGTTACAACTGACACTAGGGACAACTGGAACCTCAAGCTTGTCTGGGGACCTACCCTCTTCTGCCTGGGCCTCTTCTCTACTTATGCTCCTCACCCTCAGTGGCTGTAGCAGTCACCTCCGTGGGATGACACCCCCACCTGTGCCTCCATCCCAGACCCTTCTCCCAAACTCCAGAACCATTTATCTGGCTGCCTGGATGTCCTAGCATCTCTGCACCTTACCTTCTTGGCATGACTCCCACTCCCACTGCTTTCTCCTCCAGGATCCCTGACTCCATTAAAAACACTATTCTCAAGTGGCATGGTGATTAAAGCACTGGATTCCCATGCAACCAACTGCAGTTCGAGTCCCAGACCTGGTGGTTTGCTTTCTCACTTACCCTCTCTCCCTCTCTCTGTCTCTTGCTGGTAAGCGCACGTAATCTACAGCAAATTAAAATAATAATAACAGGGAACCAGCAGTTAGCGTAATGGCTATGTCGCTGGACTCCCACGTAGTCGACTGCGGTTCCCGTCCTGGACCCGGTGGCTTAAAACTCACGCCAGGTGCGTGTGCGTGCATGCCCAAGATCCCGAGAGGAGAATGGAGGAGAAGGGATTGCAGCATGACCATCCTCTCTGGGGGGTGATTTCTCACTTTCTATCTCTCTGTTTGTCTCTGTCTGTCTGGCGAGCACACACGCCCTATAGCAAAAACCTCTCCAAAAAAAAAAAAAATTAAAATAATAATAACAAATAAAATAAGTAAGTAAATAATTCTTTGGTGTCAGCAGGTGGTGTAGCAGTTAGGGCATGGACTCCCACATGGCCGACTGAGGTTCAAGTCCCGGACCCAGCAGCTTGAAACTCATGCCAGGCATGTGTGCATGTGTGCCCAAAATCCCGAAAGGAGAAGGGATTGTGGTGTGGCCATCTCTGCTGTTGTGGTGGCAGGGGGAAGGGGGTTCTCACTTTTTTCTCTCTTTCTCTCTCTGTCTGGTGAGTGCACATGCTCTATAGCAAAAAATTCTCTAAAATAATAGTAATAATAATTCCTTTTAAAAAAAATCACCACACTCAGGGGACAAGAAGTTGGAGAATTTCAGCACTCCTCACCTTTCCGTTAACCCTACTTACTGCAACCACCATCATCATCACCACCTTATCTAGACTGGGCAACTGTTAACAACCTTGTCTAGCCTCCCTGCTCCTCCAGCCAGTTCCCATGCTGCAGCCAGGGGCCACTATCCCTCTCAGATCTGCTTTGAATTCTTTTACGGCTCCCAGTGCCCACAGGACCTGGGAGAGTCTCTCCCCATCCCCTTCCCACAAGCCCTACTCCAGCCACATGGAAATGCCTAAATGTGACATGTTTCCAGTCTCTACGCCTTCACACAACTTGTTCCTTCTGCCCAGACCCTTCTACCCCCAAACACCTGCTATTCTGGTTTGCGCTCTAGTGCTTACTCTATGATGCAAAACCCTGGCTGAGGAGGGGTTGCAGGTCCAGCCAGTGGCATGGTGGTTAAGGCACTGGACCCCATGTAGCTGACTGTGTAGTTCAAGTCTTGGACTTGGCGGCTCGTAAAACATGTGTGTGAGGCCAGCAGATGGCAGAGTGGTATGTTGTTGGACTCCCACATGACTGACTGTGGTTTCGAGTCCTGGACCCAATGGCTTGCAAA